GGGACGTACTAAGGAACAAGTTTTTAATTGGTCATTGACTTCTTCATTTCTAAACTCGAAATAAACTAGTTTATGATTTATAAGACCGCTTTCATGCAAATTCTACCAGACAATCACTAAACACAACTTTTGGCATGCAAAAGAGCGTGCTTAGCTGTCTTCAGAGAAGAATTGGACATTCTCAGCATCGACTATCATTAAGATATCGGTAAATAATTGAATTAAATTACTGTATTTTGCGGTCCGTTGTTATCTGCTCACAATCGATATTGCGCATGCGCGTTATAGGGCTGTCAACACTTAGAAATTTAAAATGTTAACTCCATTTTTACACCTCCTCTATTTTGAAATATTTGTCAAATAAAATGAACGTTTGCATGTAACCTAACTTGAAACTTTCGGCTGTGTCGGCCATTTTGTTGCTCCCTGTATATCGATTTCGCAACATGCATCCCTATCTTTTAGTTCGCTGTCACTGTCACTTTGACTTTGACGTTTCATCAATTTCGCGCCAATATACTTCCGGGCTGCCATTTTTGTAAAACTATTGGAATAGACATTGTAATTTTAAATGTACTCGTATCAATTGAGTAATAAAATCTTCTTATTAGAACTCAATATAATAAATAATTCATAAATTCAATTCCTCTATTTAAAAAAGGTTTTATTGGACTAGCACTCGTAGCTTGACGAACTCGAGAACGTTTTGTCGAATTATTGTTATTGTAGGATTGAGAAGATGATAATGATCAACTTGGAGGCAGCAACTGGTACAGGAGACCGCGGTCCAATCGATGTGGATTGGAAGTTGTTATATCTGTATTATATATTCGCGGCTAAACTTAGTAAGTGCGATGATGGTAACGCAACGCCATCTCATGACAACTCAATGTATCTCTAACTTTCGTCTTATCGTCTGTTTATCGTGTGTATTAAAGTTTTAGGTCAGATAATCATCCATCGTTTGACTGGCCATTGCGAATGGTGTATAACATCTCTTATTAGTCTTAACGGTCTGTTTTACAAACGTCCATTAGGGCTTAATAACGCCTTTAAACTCTAATGAATGCCAAATATGCATCGGTAATGTCGCTTTATACTAATGACAATTTTAATAGACGTTTGTGCTACTGACTGTAAAAGGTATGACAAAAATGTGTAAGAACTTGATATTCAATATGTTGAAGTACTAAGGGTATAATAACTCGGTACCCGGGGGTCAGATGTTGGATCTCTTGGTGGCATTACGTTATATGCGTGTCTTCAGATTGTGTACCAAATAGGTCTATCGGTCCAGTAGTTTCGATGTAACAGACAGACGGACAGATAGACACACAAATGACTACGGTTTTGTTTTTTTTTCTTTTGAGATTGATAGGGTAGCATAAAAATATAAACTTACTTTTGAATCTATCTTTGACGAAACCCGGGTTTGCATATTTCGGTCTCGGTCTGAAAATATAAATTAGAATTAACATATTGTTATTTGAAGGTTCATAATGCAACTTTTTTCTTAAATCTTGATGTATTTTCAAATATTTCTGATAACTATTAAACTGTAGAGTTTGCCTACAGTGTTAAGCGGCTCCTAGAAAATCATGTTGCATAACATGCATTGCGTGCTGACATGCATGCAGGCTACTTGACAGTTATTTATTTATTTATTCTCATAAGACACATTAAAATAACAAATATCATCATCATATCACCAAGAATCACATCTGATATTTGCACCAATAATAAGCGTCTACAGCATTTGCAATTTTGTCACAATTCAAATAAACTTTACAACAAATTATGAAAAAGAAAATTGAAACCGATTAAAATATATATATACCTATAATTAATACATTGCAATGTTAAATTCGAGTTATAATAATACAGTAAGAAATATCTTAGCAACGGTAAATTATATGTAAACAATAAGTATGTAGTATTTTTTTGTTTCAAAATAAATTTCAAGTTTGTATTTGTCGATTCTGACAAGAACCAAAACGCGGGCGGCCATGGCGGCGCATCGTGTGACATCAAGTTTTAATAAACTAAACGACAACGTCTTTGTTGCGAGTGCAATCATTATTAATATTTATAGAAATATGACGTCACGGCTCGGAATCTCACGTCAATGATTTAGTTAATGAATAAAAATATGTCTTGCATGCATGCAAGACAGCACGTTACATATGTCATGCCAAACGACCGTGTAGAGACCGCTTTAGAATTAAAAATACTTTTATTTTCCATTTTATATTCCTCTGGCATACGATAATTCTTACTCGTGTGTAGTATACGGCTTAGGTGTCCGATATTTGCCTGTCAAAAATAAAAAGTTTAATATTTCCATATAATTTCATTACAATAAACAGTAGAGGATGTTTTATCAAAGAATATACTTTATAATAGGAATGAGGACTAATTGTTTTTTGTTTGGCCTGGAAGATTCTTGAAGAATATTAAACATCATTTTTTTTTGCGCCTACGCTACATTGAGAATGTCGCATGAAGCACGAAGGTTTGAAGCTTCGTACATTTTTTATTTACACAGCAGTGGCTGAGAGAGACTCCACTTCTAAACTTTAATGCTTATTATCTTATTATATAAAATGAGAGCCCTCATTAAATATTAATTTCTTCTGGTTTTTAGTATTTGTTGATGAAGTGGCAACAGAGATACTTTCACGGTTTATGAAATACAGCCCAGTAACAGACAGACAGGCAGCGAAGTCTTAGTAATAGGGTTCCCTTTTACCCTTTGGGTACGGAACCCTGAAAACGTATCTAATATTTTTCTATTATCTGACTGGCGGAATAAATAGAATTTCTTTTTTTTTTTACCCAGTTCATATGTCTATGTTCTTCTATACTCATGATTAGGGTTTCCGATCTATAGCAAAACAATCAATCGATATAAATCGATTCATACTTGAGTCTTAAAGATCGATTCGGGAAAAATCGATATATAATTGATCTATCAAAAATCGACCTATTCTCCTAGTGCCGTGTAATAACCTATCTAGAGAATAGAGAATAGTTACATAAAGGAATCTGCTAACTGAGAATAATTTAAGTTACGATTGCTGTAGTTTTCTGAGTGAATGAGGTAAATTAAAGATACATTCTTTATAGACAATAATAGTAATGATATTCAACCTGTTCGTTTTGCGACAATCTTGAGATCGATTTGGGCGTCAAAAAATCGATCTAAAAATCTACGATCAAGGTCGCAATGATCTATTTTCGATATAATCGAATCTAGATCGGAATCCCTAACTCAGATCCATGGCTTTGGATATTTACACGTTCTACAAAAGGGTCTCATTGATGAACCTTTTAGTCGTTCATCTTTAATTTATAGATTTTATCAGTAGTTCTATTATTTTTTTATAAATAACTTATATTTTGCCTGTGGTGAGAAAAAAGTGCACTAGATCTAACGAGAAGGAAACTACTAATTTCCAGAAATATTATTTCAAAGCTTCAATTTACAAAATTAAGAAATACTCACATTCTATACATTTAATAATAATTATAACAATAAAAATAAACTTAAAATGAAAGCAATGCTTCATTGCTAAATTCGTAAAACTGATAAAAAACATTGGCGTGTTTTAATATGCTATAAAATTAGTTATTAAACATTTCACAAGCAATTAATAAAGATAATTAGTTTTGACAATTATAATCGTGCGTTTTATGGGGCGTGCATTGTAATACTTGTTATTTTACTAAGATTTGTATGTATACTACTAGACATTCTGTGTAGACAAGCTTTATGGCAGTTTTTTACTTACTCTAAGCATGGTACGGTACACTCTACGGTACAAATAATTGCTTTATAATCTTATGCAATTGGGGAGTATTTAAAAAAAACATTAGTTCCAGAAATCAAACTAGATGTCGCTACGGTACTTTCTTGACTTCTCCATGACAACCCTTCCGGTTTTCTTTCATGTATAAAAGTAACTTAGATTTCAAAACTCAATATACAACTCATATTCTATTTGTAATTTTTCGTATTTGTATTGATATCTAAGGTTAAAATGAACGGAAATTACTGTCTTTGGTCCATTCGTTTCCTGCAAAAATCAACTTTTGCTAAAGTCTCCATCTAGTGGGGGTGCTTTTTTAGTACTTTGGTTTTTTTTTAATAAATCCTCTTTTGAACAATCGCCATTTTGCCAATAGCAAGACTACAGTATTGCCAGATCTAATAATTATTTCTACCTGATTGTCAACAAAATGGCTGGTAGCCTTCGTTCGCTTCTACCAAATTATCGCCTTATTAATATATTCATTGGCCTTGTCAATTTGCATATAAAACCTAGTGCTTTGTTTCCAAAATTTTCCAATTTTTGACACGATAATTAATACTTAAAATATTTTTTTCTATACTTTTAGATGAGAAAATATGTTCTTTTTTATTCAAATTAATTTAATATTGTAACTTAATTTCTGTGAAATAGTTTCTATAAACACACACATCTTTTCTCAAAGTTTTGTATATTAGAGTATTTTCTCCAAGTTTTAAAATACATATGCAAATACAATAAATACTGATTAATAATAGCAACACTAGCGGAAATATACGATCAGATATTTTTTTATGCAATTTTTTTTTATGGGATAGGCGGCAGACGAGCTGACGGATCACCTGATGGCAAGTAACTACCGTCGCCCATGGACACCTGCAACACCAGAGGGGCTACAAGCGCGCTGCCGGCCTTTGAGGTTCGAATATGATCATAGGGAGGGAAGGATTGAGGGGTAGAGGGAAGGGAATAGGGAGGGATTGGGCCTCCGGTACCCTCACTCACACGACGAAACACAACACAAGCGTTGCTTCACGTCGGTTTTCTGTGAGGCCGTGGTATCACTCCGGTCGAGCCGGCCCATTCATGCCGAAGCGTGGCTCTCCTAAATTAATAGTTATATTGATTAACTATTGAATAAGAATAATAGAGTAAAAGACTACAAGTCGATCTAGCGTTTATTAAGTATTTTTAATGATATAATCTTTCATCATAGTCATCATAGTCGTATGCTCGTTTTTTCTCCATTTTAGCGGCACACGTTGTTTTTGAAGAAGTTATTTTGCTGTATTTTACACCCGAAGAGGTTTTGGTGGATCCTGAGGAAGAAACATAGTTTTTAAGTTGTTTTGTAAATGAAAGGAATCAATAGGAATTGATTTTAATAAATAATTTTGATTAAAAAGGCAGTCGATTGACTTAAAAAAAAAATGGATTCAGCCGAATGCGAATCGGACTCGCGCACTATGGGTTCCGTACAGAAAACGAGCAAAATAATCACATTTGTTGTATGGGAGTTCCCTTAAATATTTATTTTATTCCGGTTTTTAGTATTTGCTGTTGAAGTAGCTAAAGAAATACATCATCTGTGAAAATTTCAACTGTCTAACTTTCACGGTTCATGGGATACAGCCCGGTGAAAGACAGACAGACAGCGAAGTCTAAGTAATAGGGTACCCTTTTTACCTTTTGGGTACGTAACTACAAAAAGGAGTCTATCAATTAGGCCAGTAGTGTTTATCCTTGATATCACCTTCATAGATGCGGTAACCAATATAAGTGTTGCTACCCACTATAAATACCGTTGCAGAACGCAGTCTGTCATAGCATGGATGACCAAAAAATTATTTAATCGAGCTCCTACATGTTTAAAAGGCACATTAACACGTTGTAGCAGCTGCAGTCGTCAACACCCACCAATCCACACTGGGTCCGCGTGTGTTATTGCCAGTTCTCCCTATCTGATTACATGTTAAGAATGGCTTGTGCCCCAGCTGTGGGGATGTTAGTACTTTGGGGATGATTGTGCGTGAAGATTTAGGATTGGATAAGATGATTCTGTTATAACAGGTTTTTCTTGCTTAGTTTTGACAAAGACAAACCGTAAATGTTCAGTGCAAAGAGTTAAAAGAGTAAGTAAACGCAAAGTTTTTATAGCGATCCTAAACGCAAAGTATTTATAGCATTTCTAAATGCAGTGTTAATAGCGTTTTTAAACAAAAATGCTTATAGCGTTTCTAAACTCAAAGTGTTTATAGTGTTTCTAAATGCAAAGTGTTTATAGTGTTTCTAAACGCAAATTGTTAACACCTTCACTACATGCAACCAAAAATCCACATCGTAACTAAGTTTCGTAGAATACCATACTGCTACTAATTTGCGATGTTATTGAATCTTTTGCGACCTAAACAGTTATCTGGGTACCTTCATATCCTGTTGTGGTGACGCACGGTGGTCTGTAGATCTTCGCTTGGTTCAACAGCGTCGATGTGTTGGATAAATCAAGTTTCCAATTTTCAATCATATCTTGGACACTTGCCTTGAGATTGTGCCATGTGTGTGGTCGGCCTTAAATAAAAAAAGAACATCGATTTATATTCAAACAAGTTCCGTGGTTCCTGTCATTACTTCGTTTTCACTACGGTCCAATAGATGGCGTTGTAACCTGTTAAAACGCGCTATAGTGTGTTGTATTGTGAATTTATGTAAGACATTAGTGAGCTAAGTAAAGAAGAGTTAATTATGTGAGTTTGAGAAATAAGGGCAAAACCGATGACACAATGTAATTATAATTATAATGATAATGATTTATTGAAATCGTATTAGCTTAATTCTAGTCTTTGGCGTAATAGTTCGCAACTGAGATCGAATGAGTTAGCACGCGGTTCTTATATGAACTAGTTCGCTCTTGTCATTTATTAGTTCGTTTAAATACCTAGCTCTTTGCTCTGTACAGTAGGAGCAGTTTTTAAACTGAATAGCTTGTCATGGGTTCGAGTCCCATCTTAGAGTGCCAGGAAAAAAGTGGATTTTTAAGTATTTTTGTACATTTACATCAAATTATTAGACACAAAAATAACATAAATAAAGATATAAACTAATATTCCTAATATATATTTATATATTAACGTAAATTACTAGTTTTCTTTAATTGTTTAGGCAGTGGATAATATTTTTCACATTCAAAGTTCTAACGAGATAATCGACTTCACCTTTGCTCATTCTGTCACGAACTAACGAACTACAGAACGGGAAATGTGGGAACTAGTTCACGTAATTCGTCTGCGGGAACTTAGCGAGTACAAACAAACTCTTCAGAAACGATCTTGTCACATTTCATGATTCTAGATCTAGATGCGTTTTTGGCGACATAAACGGCCGCTTTACTTACGTTAAGTATTAAATTAACTTAAACACAAGTTTTATTCTTTCACAGCTTGAATTTATAGTTTATTAAGATATGAGTTGGACGACAACATTTCCATATAAAGATCTTGCTACAAAATAAAAATTATAAATTAGGTATGTACGAGCAAGCCGCACATTGCCGACGCATCATTTTTATAATAGCCTAGTTTACTCATAATTAATAAATTACTTTTACATAGTTCAGTTCGCATATATACGCGTATCAAGTCGCGCGTACTCACATCAATTTTCACCCTCATTAGTAATAATCTCTCTAAGTTTAGTATAGCAAATATATAACAGTTTTTAAATCTTATCAGTTTCATCATTTTAGTTCTATCCCGAACAAGGTAAGAACTGCGTCATCTAGGAATCTACATTTTAATAAATGGTTGCACTTTACAAATAATTTGACAGACCAGTCCGCTTATTCTGTAACTCTGGCAACTTCGGGGGACAACCGAAATCAATTGTTAACTGAGCTCTGTGGCCAAGCGGTCATCGCATGGTTTGGTATTGTGTAACTCATTTTTAATAAATTTATAAATAGGATAAGACATTTTAGCGATGTTATGACGATATTTCGCTTAATTTTACTACTTTTACATGTGTTGACGGGTGGGTAAAAGGATAAATAATAAAGTTGGTAACGCTGCTATCAAATCCATAATCATCGTTCGTACGTTGTCACTAAAGTACATGTCAAAATAGTAAAATTAAACGAAACATCATAAGATGTCGTAGCCTAAAGCTAGAATCATGGTCGGAGAGTACGTACCTTTTAAAATAACATCTATTATTGCTTTGACTGCGTCTAAATCAAACTCGAATAAACGCATTGGAATATTGCTCAATTGATATAGTAATGACGTCACCTCTTCTCTGGTATACCTCGAAGTATTCTTACCAAGGAGGTGTGTAATTCTGAAAAAAATAAAACAACTTTATTCATCTACTTATTTTAATATCTTTAGTTATAAGTATTATAATAATTTACTTTAACCGCTGGTCTAATCTCAAAGGCGTGCTCAGTCATTAAATGTTTTTAAAAATTTAGTTACAGAATACTATCACTCTCGTGCTGTACATCCAAATAATATTTATTGTAGATAATAATATTAAATTACTATAAACTATATATATATATATTTGTTTTTGCGTGTGTGTGTGTGTGTGTGTGTGTGTGTGTGTGTGTGTGTGTGTGTGTGTGTGTGTGTGTGTGTGTGTGTGTGTGTGTGTGTGTGTGTGCGTGTGTGTGTGTGTGTGTGAATTAATTGCATTATATATTCATATTTATAAAGTATACTTTTGCTCAAATGCACTGCCCTAAATTATTCTCCCTATCTAATTTTCTTTTTGCGGTTGCCTGGAAGAGATCGCTTTTAAGCGATAAGGCCGCCATTTGCTTCGCTCTTGATCTTTGTGATTCTTGTATGTTCTATTGTTGTGCAATAAAGTTTATTATTATGATTATTATTATCTCTTTCAAAGACATACCGATTGCGGTTTTTGGATATAACGTTTAAAGATGCAAAAAAAACTTGGTAACTTAATATTTCCTTAATAAAAAAAAAATAAAAAAATTACGGCTGACGTTGGCCTTAGACAATTTCAATTACTAATTAATATCATATGTCAAACAGTGGTAGCGTGAAGTTCTTAATTATCTTTCAAATGTGTAAGGACTTGCGATCGATTTGAATATAAGACAATAAGGCCTCTGATTGTACACACGACGTACGCGCAAGTTAAAAGTAGGTTATTAAACCTGTTTAATACCAAACATAAATAACCAAATAGGTTTATTAATAATATAGAACCTAATTACGATGTTCTATTGTTATAAGATTTTTTATAGTCTCTTGTAATTGTCACCTTCCGATAGTATGGTGTGCATCAAATAAATGATCTATAATTTATTTAAATATTTGTTTTACTCTGTCTGTAACCAAACCTACTTTTAATTTTGATCTGTTTATTACTGTTCTATTTTTTGACAGAAGCTCTAATTTGTGTACAACTATGCTTTATTAGTTGTACCTGAAACCTATATTTCATTTTGTCAGGACCTGCAATTGAGTTGTCTGCCTCCTATTTTACCATCATTTCTGTTTGATAGCTGTAGGTCTTCATATGTGATAATAAATTAATATATTAAAAATAATGTATGATTTCGTAAAATTAGTCATTTATATTTACTGCTGACGTGCAACCTACTTTGGCGTGCGGTCAATAATCTAAGTATATAATATGTATCGACTTTAAAGTTTGTTGTAATTTATACTTCATCAACTCATGTATCTACTAATTAAACTTATCTACTAATAAAATAAACTTAACTATTTACACAGTGCAGTGTTTAAGTTGAACTATATTTAACTTTATCCAAATTTCTATTAACTACACTCTTCAAGACCCCAACATATAACAAGATAATTAGGTTGTCCAAATTATCTTTACAATTTACTATTAAAACAAAATAAAAATAATGTACAATACCTTTTAACTTGCACGTTGTTACTTTTGACTGGTCCTGTTTTGTACGTAGATATATTTTTTCTGTACCCTAAAATTTCTAAATTATTAATATCGTTTAGAGTAGGAAAGTCTGAAACTTTAAGACATGTGAATATCTGTTCCCTCAGGAACGATATCGTCGTTTTTAAGTGAATAAGTATATTAAAACAGATTTATGGGATTGTGTAACTTTTAAAGTCACAATCGTTTTAGACCGAATGATGATTTGAGTGACATTTTTTTAATTTTTTTTTTATAATATAGGGGGCAGACGAGCAGACGGATCACCTGATGGTAAGTGATTACCGCCGCCCATGGACACCTGCAACACCAGAGAGGCTACAAGCGCGCTGCCGGCCTTAGAGGGAAGGGTTGAGGGGTAGAGGGAAGGGAATAGGGAGGGGTTGGCCCTCCGGTACCCTCACTCACACGACGAAACACAACGCAAGCGTTGCTTCACGTCGGTTTTCTGTGAGGCCGTGGTATCACTCCGGTCGAGCCGGTCCATTCATGCTGAAGCGTGGTTAATGAATGTCATATAAAATTAATTCCCTTTGATATTTCTTAATAGCTTTTAAATATATTTGTAACTATAATTATCGTTCATTAAATATCTTATCTTTCAATAAACGCCGCGATTTCAATTGCTATCGAATAGATGTAGCGTGAAGTTAGTTATTATTTTTCAAATATTAAATTAAAAGTGTAATTATAAGTGTAAATTTTATATAGTTACATTTTCTTTGTTAACTGCCCGGATTATGATTAATTAATATAATTTATAAACGTAATAAGTTTCTATAATTGGCGTCAATGCTGCATATTTATTTTTGTATTGAAATAACAAAACTGCTGTTGAAACTTTGTTAAATGAATTGTATTATGTAAATATCAAGAATCACGTTATAAACTTGGTTTGAATGGAGTGCATTTATATGCAAATAATTCACGTTCTATAAGTGTGCTGCCTTAGCAGTTACATATCACGTACCCCTCTTAGATTTAAGTAGTATATAAGACGAATATTGTTTAGTTAATTAGAGATCTACAACCTGAAACATAGTATCATTTCTCCCGACCACGCTGGCGCTATTTCAAATAGACAATTAGGCCACGGGACCTTTTGAAAAATTCAACTACATTATTTGTATTTAAGATGCCAATTGTGTAGGTTATAGCAGTAAGTTATTACTACTATACTAGTCTTTATATATTATGTTCATTATAATAAGAAAGTAAAATTGATAATATATATTCAAAATAAAAAGTTACTATAACAAATGACACGCATTTCTCCTCACTTACCTACAACCATGTAGCTTATTCAATTTTTCTAATTGAATAATTTCTTCTAATTGATGAATATTTTTGCGTAGTGGATAAGCGCCGCGGCCGGCGATCGTTGTCGTTAAGCAACTTTCGCAAGGGTCGGTCACGGGATGGGTGACCGAAAAATTATTATCTCGAGTTACTCCGTGCTTCGGAAGGCACGTTAAGCTGTTGGTCCCGGCTGCATTTGCAGTCGTTAATACCCTTCAATCCGCATTGGGCCAGTGTGGAGGGTCATGGCCTGTGCTCCTTAACCATCCATAAGGAAGGCCTGAGCCCCTGCAGTGGGGACGTAAAAGGGCTGATGATGATGAATATTTTTATATAAAAAATACTGTGGCTTTTTACAATGTGCAACTCTAATGGCAATCGAAACAAATTGCTCACTAAGCTCTGTTGGCGACTGGCCATACGAATAAGTGATTGGAGTTATACATTGGAGTTATTCACTTTTTACGGTGATTCCTACATAAATCTGTCAGTTGAGTTAGCGAATACGCCTGCAGTTTGGAGGTGGCATGAATACTAGAAAATGGCGGGAAGTACAACAAAACAGTTGTTAATATTTAAGTTTGAAGAATGAAAATGATGTACTAGTCTTGAAGGCAATCGCGTTCGACAGACATTGCAATGTGACGTTTCGTTCTCTTGATTTTACACTAGCGGCAATGAGAAAGTTTTAAAAAAAGAAATTAGTTCCCGAAATCAAACTAGATGTCGCTACGGTACTTTCTTTATTTCTCCATGGTAACCCTTCCGGTTTTAAATTAGTTTTAAAAACTCAATAAACAACTCATATTTTATTTGTACTATTTCGTATTTGTATTGATATCTAAGTTTCGAACTTTGCAAATTTCAGTTTATTAATATGTTAGTTAAAAGGAATAGAAATTACTATCTTTAGTCCATTCGTTTCCTGCAAAAATCAACTTTTGCTAGAGTCGCCATCTAGTGAGGTGCTTTTTTAGTGCTTTCTTTTTTTCTTGAAATATATCCTCATTGGCTCAAATAATAGTCTTGTTTTAAGAGTACGAGCTTAGATTTGATAGAAATTGAGATCGTCGTTGGATTCGATTGAAATTGACATTGATTGCGTTCAAGAGTAAGTCTGGTGGTTTCCAGTATGAGCTTACTAATATCCCAAATGCTGGGGCACAAGCCATAAAGGACGGAATCAAAAGTGGTATTCATGCCACCTCAAAACTGTAGGCGTATTCGCTAACTCAACTGAATCAAATCGAACAGGGAGAATGCGCCATGACCCACCACGCGGGCCCACTACGTACTGCAGATACATCCGGGACTAACAGCTTAATTTTTTTTGGTCACCCATCCCGTAACAGACCTTTGCGAAAGTTGCTTAACAACAACGATCGCGGGCCGCGGCGCTTATCCATTACGCCACCGAGCTACTCTTAACCACACTCATACACTCTTAACTAGAAAAATGCTTAAAAAAAACACTTTGCCCCTAGCACTGGGCGACTGCTCTAACCACCAAGCTACCCAGGACGTAACAGGACTACAGGACTGACGAATCTTTCAAGTACTTGTTACTTTTCCCTTTTTTTTTATTTTTTTTATACCGAGGGGAACTGACCTTAACATGCCATCGACCTGCACTGCCTACTGCCTACTGCACTGGACCGCCGTCCAGTGCAGTAGGCCTACCGTGCAAAACCCCCCGTACCACCCTCGCGCATAGTCCGGGACCTGGTATCTTAAAATAAGTCCCAGGTGGTACTTTTTCCCTACAACAGAGCGTACTTTCATCAATGTTCAGACAATCCACCCAAACAGCCGAAAGACATATTTTCTTAATATTACAACGCGTTACTACACACCAGCCAGTATCGGTGTGAAAAGCTCTTGACAGTGCAGCAGCTTCATTGGGCTGTACAGTATATCTTCGTTGTATATTCTCCTTCTGTAGAATGTCTCCACTGGTCGCATTACCCGATTCTTCTTTTTGCCTCTTTTCTTCTTTCGTACCCTCTTTATTGGCTTTTGTAGCCTCATCGGGGAATCTTCCATCTCTGTTGTAGGTGGAGTCACTAATTCCCTTAACTGTTTGGCAGTAAATCTTTGGTTATTATCCTCATCTTTAAAATATAAGATTTATTAATACCTACGATTCTCAGCAATATTAAAATATACTTTACTTGTTAAAAAAATATATCATAAATAAAAAGACAGATCTATAATGACAAAGAAAAAGACGTAAAACAGAAAAACACAATAGCACTACCGTGCACAAATTTTCCCCTATCGCTTATAGTCTAAGAGATCGTGACAAAATTAGCAAGAGCTTCATAAAGCTTGATATTTCAATGTGTGAAGAAGATATACATCAGTCAGTACTCAATGTGGAGGTCAGGTCGCTAATTTTAAACTATTTAAAAGGACTTTTCTTAGTTTACGTTGCTTCCTTGATTCTAGCTATATGACTAGTATTAATATGACGATATTTCGTTTCATGTTATTATTTTGACATATCTATAACAGATATATATCTATATCTGCTCGACTGCCCCCTATTCCATAAAAAAAAAAGATAGGTAGTAGTGATAGGAGTTGGAAGAAAACAAAGGGCTATATATATACAAATTAAAATGCGCAGCTCACTTACATGACAGCAAAAAGAACAAAGATCAAAGAAAAAAGGAGAATAAAGTGTCAACAAAAAATAAACTTCTAAAAATATCTCACCGGCCTTCTGGTCAGTTCGTAACAATATCGTTTGGTATATATTTGGGATAAGTATGTAAGTTGGTAATACTGCTGTCAAAACGATAATCAACATTCTTTATCATCCATTCGTCGTTACTAAAGTAAAAGTAAAAATGTATCCTAATGGCTAGAGTCATGACTAGAGAGTTAGGAAGTCGCACCCCAGGTATTCCAGTGCCTGACCTCTGCACTGAGTACCGAGTACTTAACACACTGAAATATCAAGCTTTAGAAAGCTCTTGAAACATTTTTGACACGGTCGCACCTCAGGTATTACAGTGCCTGACCTCTGCACTGAGTACCGAGTATTTAACACACTGAAATATCAAGCTTTAGAAAGCACTTGTACATTTTTGACTCGATCTCTCCGTCTATTGTTAGTGTTTAGTGTTTACAGTGGTGAGCGTATACGGTCTCGAATACGGAAGATAAGCAGTCTTATAAGGCTCATAAATTTTCACTCCTCCATGCTTCAGAAGGTTAAGCCGTTGGCCCTGGCTGTATTCTCGTATGTGGAGAGTTTTCAACACTCGACTTTCATTCCCCTGTAGGAGAATATGTGCCACTTGAAACAGAATATAGGTAAAGTGAGAATAATCCAATTAAAACAGATCCACAGAAAAAAGTGAGGTTAATCCAAAAATAAATAAAAAATAATGCGACTAGATATAATTTAAAATTTGTGCACCGATCACAAATCCCTGTATGTCTTACCTCGAATTTGTTGTCTTTTTTCCTCTCGTCGAATTCGTTGATCGGTGTCATAGGTCTGTTCTGTATATCAACGTACTGATAATCATCTCCATCGTTGATTGGTTTAATCAGTTCAGACCTATGTTGCTTCTCTCTTATTTGGTCAGCTATTTGAACCTTCAACAGTTCCACATGTTCTTGCACACTGAGTGTTACTGGAGGTCTGTTCTTTTGTAATGTGTATGTTACTGAAAATGTCCAATCAAAACATAGAGACGTATTAACATTAAAAAATTAGTGCCAAGCATTATGAAACTAATTACAGTGCATCTGAAACTAATTACAGCGCATCTGAAACTAATTACAGCGGATCTGAAACTAATTACAGCGCATCTGAAACTAATTACAGCGCATCTGAAAACTACTATCGTAATGACGTGAAATCTAATTTTCTTATTTTGAAATCTATCACAATAGTTTTGATTTTTGACATTTAGACGCGAATATTATTCCAAGTTTAGCGCATCTGAAACTAATTACAGCGCATCTGAAACTAATTACAACGCATCTCGAACTACTATTCTAATGACGTGAAATCTAATTTTCTAATTTTGAAATCTATCACAATAGTTTTGATTTTTGACATTTAAAAGGCAAACGTTAGACGCGAATATTATTCCAAGTTTAAGTTGCTATGTTGTAATTTTACAATTAACCCACTGTTCTAGTCAATAAAGCGTATGTACTTCCACAATCCTATTAATATTATAAATGTGAAAGTTTCTTTGTTTGGATGTTTGTCGGTCAATCACGCCGAAACTACTGAACGGATTTTGATGAAATTTGGTATACAGATAGGGTATTAGCTGACTTAGATATCCCACTTAACATATCCCTTGAACCCACGCGGGCGAAGCCGCTGGCGAAAGCTAGTAAAATTCCAATTTTGGTTATCAATATCTTATGCTACAACGTAAAACTTTTATACCTACATAACTAGCTTCCCGCCAGCGGCATAACCCGCGTGTTCCCTAGGTTTTCACTTAGATATCGATTCATACAATAATATCGATTCATTCACTATGTCATTATAATAATAATATATAATTACAATGACATATTGAATAGTAAATAATGGTACTTTATTAATATGTTAACATATTAATTCCCTATAAACTTCCCCTTATTTTCATCCCTTTATTTGCTGTTTTTCTGGATAATATGTAGCCCATGTCCACCGCATATGATGTAGTTTCCGTACGTGTCGTGAATATCACGAATTAAAAAGTTTTTCCAAAATATTAACAATAATAATAATAATAATAAACTTTATTTACCAAAAAAACAGACAATATGGTATAGCATAAGAGGTGAAGTCCTTAAAAATACAGTAGTGTAGATCTGTGGGAACTTAAAATAGGAGGAACCTGTAGCTTAAGAATCAGTATTTTGGTTTCTTTCATTGTTTGAGTTCAGAAACGGTAAAATAAGAGTACCTACTAAGAGACAAAAATATGAAAGTGATCTGTGACTAAATTATGACAGAGAAGAAAAAGGCGGTAAAAATATGGCGGTGAGATGGACTGGTAGTGTTGAGTGAGCAGTTTATTGGTAAGTATTATTATTTTCTTAAGCTTCTGATCTTATACTTAAAATATACTTGTCTTATTAGTGGATCTGATAAACCTACTATAGGGAAACAATGGTGTTATCGCTGCGGCGATTGTGTATCAGGTTATCAGTTGATATATATCAGAAGTAGACCAGTTGTGAGGATAGGGGTGGCTATAAGGGGTGGAGGAGGCCACTTGTGGGGTAATACCCCGTGTTTCGACACTTACGTTGAGAGTCGTAACGAAGCATTGTCTTTTATAAATCAGTTAAGAAAATGCGTGTGTATTTCATATACAGGTACGCATAATACAATTATAATTTAATTCGCATTCCACATTAAGGTTAAAAAGGAATTTGCGACAGTATGTGAGAGAATTTTTTAAATTGGTCCAGAAGTTTCGGACTTTTCGTTATAAACAAACGATCGATCAAATCTTTCTTCTTTATAATTAGTATAAATTTCATTGAATGCCAAATTTTCTTTAACTTAATATGAAAATATAAAATTATAAGACTTACCTATAACTATGAAGAACAAAATTGAAATGTTGTAACTTAAACATAATCTAGACATCACAGAAAATAAAAACAACTGGTGAGCAAAAAGGAAACGTGGGTGTGTGAAATATGAACATAAATAAAACTAAATTAAAATTCAACTCGACCATATATAAACATGGTGAATTAAAAAAAACTTTCGATAGAGCATAGTTAAGAAAAATGAATATATAGGAGCGTAGCTTTTAGTTAAATTAATTGTGAGATATTTACGTAATTTTTTTTATAATTTACTAACTTTCGCCAGCGGCTTCGCACGCGTGGACCCTAGATAAATGTTTGGTGGGATAAAAAGTATCCTATTATCTAAGTCAGCTAATACCCCATCTGTATACCAAATTTCATCAAAATCTGGCCCTGGATTCTGTAAAACTTCAAACCCGAATTCGAATCCACTCAGGTGTCCGAATTCACTTCAAGAAGCGGCATCCGCTCAAACTTGAATTGGTAATAATGTTTCGTGAAATAAGTGAAGTGAGTTTCGAAATGATATAGGATTAAAATATCTAAGACACGTTTAATCAATCAATTTTGTTTAGTATTTTTATACAAAAAATGGAATCAATAGGACGAGAATTCGGACACATGAGTGAATTCGAATTCGGGTCTGGATTTTTACAGAATCGCAGGGCTTTTCAGTAGTTTCGGCGTGATTGACGTACAAACGTAATAATAATAATAATATTCTTTATTGCACGCTAGACAGGACATAATACAGAGAAGATAGAAAAAAGAGAAAGATTACAAAGGGCGACCTTATTGCTACGTAGCAATCTCTTCCAGGCAACCCGAGGCAAAGAAAAACTTGAACTATTTAATAAAAAGAGTGCACCCCCCTCTTTTTATGGAGATGGAGAAGTAAATAGATAAATCAAACATCCAAACATCTAAACATCCAAACAAATAAACTTTCACATTTATAATATTAATAGGATAATAATAAATTACTTTTTGCCCGCAAATTCGTTTGCAGTTTACAGTGGTTCATTTTTAAACAACTTCAAAAAATATGAATAGGTTGTTGACTTCACTGTTGTCTTGTATTATTTTTGCACTTCTTATTTTCTTTGAAAGAGTCTCGAAATAATCCCATTAAATTTGACGAAATTAGTTCAATAGTTTTGTTTTAGTTTAAAACAAAAACTGAGAGAAGTACATCGCCAAAATGAACTCGATGTGACTTAAGAACCCTATAATAAAAATGTATTTTTTTCCTTAATAAAACGAGCTCAAAATCATAAAACAATTCTTATTATGACAAATAAAACTTCGTTTGAACTCATACGTGTAAAAATTTAGCATTTGGCAATCGTTTTTTCTCCAATTTACATTCTTTTTAAATTTATATAGAACTAAGTATTTGATTTTAAAGAAAATTAGAAGCAAGTATAAGAATGTAAGTAAATAAAATGTCCCATTAAAAACTTATACCCATCTTTTCATTCCTTTCATATGATCCGTATGAAATATATATCTTGTTTAAATTATAAAGATAGGATCGAAATTAAAAAATAACTTATGTTAAGGTAATATTCGGTAACTTTTAAATTACATAAGTAGTTCTATATTTATGTATGGTCTTAAGGTAACAAAATATCTTAATGTTACGTTAGAACTTTACGAATCGTTCATATAATTTAGTTCAAATCCGTGAAGTTCTGTGCATCAGAGGCAGATGTCAGTTCCTACTTCCTGTTGTATCATAAATTAACGATTTTTTTTGACGAAATTTCATTTTCTGCGGATTAGAATAGGTTACCTTGTGACGTTTAATTATCTCCGAAAATAAAAGACAAAACCGGAGGAATTTGTTTTATAAACTTTGAAAATGCAGTTGATATAAATAAACCTCTAAAGAGTGGACATAATGCAGTAGACAATAGCTTTATCGTATACGAATGTGATGTTGCTTTTAAAGTATTAGTAGAATAGGATTCTACTGCATAAATGTAAAATAAATTATTATTTATAACCCATGTTTAATTCTCAATTTTCCGTTTATAAAAGATGGTGGTATCGGAAAAGATCTTTGATCTTCATACTCTCTATCTCGTTCTGGTATTGGTTCGTTGAAATCATATTTTTCTGCTGCTATTGGAACTTTAGCATAATAATTGGGGCTACTGATCTTATAGAAGTCTCTTTTGGGCATCCAAGTACCTTTCTTAGGTTCACGTTTCTTTGTTGATATTTCATTTTTATAATTTGCCACCGTTTGTGTTTCTTCTTGTTGATGTTCTGTAGTTTGATGTGGCAGTAGTGCGTCATAATCAAAAGCAATGTTTTCAGTTTTAGCTTTCCAGTCATCGGGGTTCACATTGTACTCACTCTTATCTTTTTCTGTTTCGTATTCATCTTTTACTTTTGCCGCTAGCGGTTTTACATTCATTTTCTTTGTAACAGCTACATTTGTAAGTTTTACTGATCCACCTTTGGCATTAGATTCTTTGCTTGCATAAATATTGCCTTCCTTTTCAGGTGTGACATAATCTTCGTAACTATCCTTATTAGACATATTTGTCTTTGTGAATAAGTTTTCTTCTGAATGTACATCGTAATTAGGTATCTGCATTTGACTTTTGTGGTCATTCTGATCGTATGTTTCATATTTATCCACTGTTTCTGTTTGCGTGTGATATTCGTCAGTCTTTTGTGTACCATCACCATATATATGATCGTTTTCAACCAGTTTTTCGTCATCGAAAACTTCATCTCTTTCCTGTACATGTTTTTTATTGTAAGTCTCGTGATATTCGTCATCTATTTGTTTTATTGCTTCAGATTGACCGAGTTCTTTTTGATTTTCATAATCATACATTTTTTTATCGTTTTGATCATCAGTGCCCTCTTCTTTACTATCAAACTTTTCATTTTGACTATCGATACTCTCTAGTTTAATATGACCTTTGTTAACGGAACTCACATGATCGGCGTATTTATCATTGTCTTGTTGTATGTGATAGTTCTTACCAATTTTCGGCTTCTGATCGTGTTGATGTGTATTTTGAGCCATAGCGAGTTCCATTCGTTTCTTTATAATGTCATCTTCGATTCTTTTCTTCACTTCTAACACTAATTCATCGAAATTTATAGTTTTTAAATTGCCGCTCTGTTTAGTGAGACGTACTGTTTGCGCTTGTTCTTCTTCTGTGGAGTATTTTGTATCCTTTTCTTGATCTTCTTGTGTTTGTACCTCGTCATCGTCTCTCATGACTCTTGTATCTTCTACGTGGGTTTCTTTATTGGTTTGCTTATAAACGTCTGAATCTTTCTTTTTAGAGGGTGTAGCTAAATCGGCTAATTGCGAAGCCAGTTTTTCAGGTACTAATTTTCTTGCTACTTTTTTGAAGTCATCCAAATTTGCAGCGAGAAGAACGTAGCTGTGTGTAAGAGTTATAACTAGTGATGTGATATCTGGAATTAAAAATTGATCTATTATTTATCGTTATACACAGTACCACGTCACAACAATACGTCAAACTTCCGCAGTTAATATATTAATGTTTAAAATCAACTGGAGAAATTTCGTATCTTTGTATAATTTGAATACTCTTTGTACAACATATAATGTGACAGTATAATTGGTGGCCTATCTCTAAAAGGTCAATTGTTTGTAGTTAATCTCAACTAACAGGGCAATATTAAAATTTTCTTTATAAAATAGGTTTTATTTACTTAAATACACTGTTCTCTTTTTGTTTAAATAAAGCTACTTTTTAAGGTATCTTAAACATTTCTGTTGCCGCTTCAACAGCAAATACTAAAAATCTGAATTAAATTAAATATTCAAGAGGGCTGTTCTACAACAAACATAAATTTTTTGCTCTACGTGAGCGAATCCGACTTCATTATTAATTTGATAAAAATATTTACAGTAATTTCTAAGTGGTTTTTCTTGACATTTTGGTTAAGGCCCCTTGCCAATAAATGTTGATGAAGACTTTATAGAGAGTTCTAGATCATTTATATAATATTTATATATAAAATAGCAAATAACATTTATAAATACTTGCATAATAGCGACGAATATCTGAATTTCTTCGACATGTTCTGAAAAATCGATATTTCTGTTTTATCATCGAATTTTATAGCGTATGCGTTTGTGTTTTTATATATTTATTATATTACCGCTCGCTCTTATAGCAATAGTTCTTTTACTAAAAGGATTTTATAAAATATATATTGGAATAAAATTTGCCTTAAATAGGGTAAAATATGATAGCAAATACTAAATTAAATTATTTTTAAAATACAAGTAAATGCATTCAAATTATTATGAGATAGCAAATACTAAATTAAATTATTTTTTTTTTAATTACAAGTAAATGCATTCAAATTATTATGATTTTAATTATATAAAATTATTTTATAAAAAAATACATTTTTTTATAATATTATCACAATTATTAACGTGTCTAAGATTAAATGCCATGATAAGAAATCTAATAAATGTAGCAAGATTAAAAGAACTGCAAATCATAGAACAACTTGGTGTAAGTAAAATGCCATTTCCAATTATCATTTAAGTATATTAGTTTTAAATCGATTGAATCGTAATTGTTTGCAATTGTTGACATGGCGCCCATAGCACTGCGTAACTGATTATTTTGAAATCTTTTAGGGACGTATTACAGAAATATTCTTTTACAGTGTTATTATTAAACAAATTTAGATTTCGAGTAAATTTACGCGGAGACTGCACTTAGTATTAGTCAAAATTCATATTATTAAACAGAGACTTGGCAAAGGTTTACCTAGTGCGAGGTTCTACGGGAGTGATATTTACTCCTAGAAGGTAGCAGGTTTGCTTATTGTCTGTGTAATATGAATTTGGACTAATACTAATTGCAATTTTAACGTAACGTAATTTTACGTTAACGTAAATTTCTCTGACGCTAAACCTTGTTCATTAATAGTGCTGATAGGGTTTCTCCTTAATCTTTGCCTTAAATCTTATTCTTATGTAAACTTTTGAATGAGAGTTTAGAGAGCTTTAAAGTAGGACTCGTAAAAAATATCCCGCTTTAGATTGCATTAGCACGAATGCACCATTTTGCGCAATAAACAGAATTTTAGTATCAGTGCCCCAGTGGCGGATTAAGGGGGTGGGGTCTGTGCGCCCTGGGCCTCTTGTTCCGGGGGGGCCGCCGAAAGACTGCGAGTTCTCTCGATCAAAACATAAATTAGGAATTGGGGTTGGAGGTTGGAGGAGGAATAAGTAGACAGTTTTATAGTATTTTAACCTATTTAATTTCCGCTAAATTATACCTTAATGTTGTTATTCTGAAGCGAATTAATAATTGATGTCATTGTATTTCTTTTTCGTTGAAATTAAAATGGATACGTCAGCAAATACTACGGTTTTAAATATTGTAACGTCAGGGGAATCATTTATGTAGAGCATAAACAACAGAGGGCCTAGAACACTGCCTTAGGGAACACCACATTTTTATAATTAAATTCGGAAAACTTGGGAATATTGATGTAATTTTGATAAAATCATGTCCGTAAAGATTGTCTGTGTCATCTATTTCTGTTGCAACATAAATTATTAGAAAATTGGTTTCTTTGGAGTTTACATATTAGCATTTCGATAAGAGACAAATTTACGTTATTGGAGAAATAGAATTGGCATTAGATGTCATAATACTTCGTACGAGTTACATGTCTATGATTCAGGCAAAAGAATCAATTTAAAATGCCTCTACATTGATAATAAACACATAAATACCACACAAGATAACATTTTATTTATCTTTCCATAATAATTGATATACAAATTACTTAAAGCTAACAATACAAATTTCGTTTCGTCCAAAACATTAAATTTATTATACGTTTATATAAATCACTAAAGACCTTTATAATCTAAGGGCGTTTCCACAATTGCGACATTAGAACCTTATTTCTTATAAAACCAGTTCTTCTGAAAGATATACAAAAGAAAATCTTTAATGATACCATTTTTATTATAATTAAACAAACTAGAAATGTCGAAATAACTTCTAGTAAATTTGATAAAAAAACATGTCTATTTCCAAATGAGTTTTCACTGGACGCTGACAATAAGAAACTTAAAAATAATGTGTATAAGTCGTTCCAATATATCAATTTAAATATAATATACATTATTAGTCAGCTCGATGTGATTAATTAACTACCAATTTAAATGTATCATCGAACAGCCAGCCTTATGTTTTGTTCTCGAAACCCTTCAGTGGCTTTAGTGTTATCGCAATTATGTGAAACCACCCTAATTGTTTGTAAACAATAAACGCTATTCGCTTGTAAGTAAATGTATTTATCGTAATTATTACATTTTTTTAAATAAATTATGTTATTAACTTTGAGTTTTATGTGCTTTCTCCTAATTAATAATTATTGAATTGTCGGTTTTATTAAGTCGATTTTGTTTCATTCAGGCTCCTCTCTACCCTAATATGCTCTGGATACATATCTGAAAAAAAATAAAGAATTATCTCTAAGTATATTATTTAATTAAACTCAAATGTTAGCAATTAAATTGCGGAAACTTGATTAAATTTAGCTTATTTCTTTTCTGTAAATATGTAGTACACTTATTATATTTTAGTATACAGGAGTATTATTATATTTCTTGTATAATGTGACAACAGCTTTTCTATTTTGACTACCCGCCTAAACAACATATCATAGTATCTAGTAGAATTTAGCCGGTATCTGGTCAAATACACAGTGTTCGGCCAAATAACCGGTATAGAGCCCAATAACAGTTGTGATTAGGGTTACCACCCGTACTTTATAATAAAGTATTGTACGTTATTTCAGACAATTGTACTCTATACTTCTATAAGAAAAATAAAGTACACGAAAATACTTTATGTCGTATGATTTGATTTGTTTGTGATTTTGAAGTTTATTCGTAAGTATTTTTTCGTTAAACAAAATTTATCGATTCATGCTGAATCGATAAATAAAAAGAAAATGTATTTTTAAGTTTAGTAATAAAGAAAAATAAATAATACTTTATTTTGATTCAATTTACTTTGTTTTTGTACCTATAATAACTAATGTACTTTAATTGGGGAAAAAAAAGGTGGCAACCCTAGTTGTAATATCTAATTATTATATTTATCCATTATGCATTCATAATGCTATACTGAAAAATGTTTAAAAATCCACTTTGTCCTTTGCACTCCGAGATGGGACTCGAACCCGTCGTTGACAATATGAAACAGCCAAAACAGACAATAAGGTCCCAAGCAAAATACAACAATTAGATATCACGCAGTTTAAATCTACTATTAAAAAAATACTTATTAAAAAAGCTTATTATAAGGTATCCGATTATATAACAGATAAGAACGCTTGGACTTGAGATGATCCAGCAACTGGATAGGTGATTACTTCTAAACTCATTATCTTGTTTCCATTATTATTAAATGATTATGTTATCATTATAAGACCATATTTATTAATTTTTTCTCTATCTCTGATTATAATGTATAGATCTGGTAATGACATGGTTTTTGTAAATGTCATTACTCTTATTAGAGCTGGTGAGTTTCTTGCTCGTTCTTCTTATCGGCCAAAAGACGTCCTGAACGAGTGGTAGGGAAAAAAAATGTTAGACGATTCAAAAGTACTTTTAAGAAGTCTATTTGAATAAAGATTATTTTGACTTTGACTTTGACTTTGACAGCTGATTATTTGTTCGTGAATCCAGTATTGTACTTACCTAATCCACTCCACGAAGTCCTGGCATATAATAATATTACACCTTTATATAGTCTGTGAAGTGAGGACGTGTAGAGCTATACTTACCATATGGGATACTTTTGCCGAGTCGTGGTGAAAAATTAACGGATCTACCGAGACGCGGAGAGAAGTTCACTGATCTGCCGAGTCTGGGTGAGAAGAATTTAGTTCTCCTGTCCTTTTGGTCAGGGTCTGACTTGTATCTGTTAAAGAATACCATAGCTCAATATAATTCAATAAATGATTGCATTCCGGAGGAACAAATCTGAATTATCACCGGTGTTCCGAAACTATGGATAAGAGACCCCTTTACCAAAATGAATTGACATCCAATGAGGAAGTATTTTAAGGGAAAAAAAGATAGCACAAAAAAGCACCTCACTAGATGGCGACCTTATCTAAAGTTGATTTTTGCAAGTAACGAATGGAGCAAAGATAGTCATTTCCATTCCTTTTAATTAAAATATGAAAAAACTGAAATTAGCAAATAGAATATGAGTTGTTTATTGAGTTTTGAAAATGTATTTACTTTTATACATGAAAGAAAACCGGAAGGGTTGTCATGGAGAAATCAAGAAAGTGCCGTAGCGACATCTAGTTTGATTTCGGGAACAAATTTTTACATAGGCATAATACGGCATAACTTCTTTTATATAATATTTTTGCATAAGTTGAATTGGCGTAACAGTGAAGAATCAATCAATCGGTTCGGTTAAATTAGAATTGTGACTAATACAAAAAGCGAGCAAAGCTACATTATAATATAAAATATATTTACTGAACATAAGCATTTCATTTTCACAGTAACAAATTTGAAATGTCATAATCTTTGACTATTTCTTTGTATTAAACCAAGGATTGAGAACGCCTTACTGTTTCCGGTAAACCATTCCACAGGTGAGCTGTCTAAATCCTAAACGATTTGTCAATTACTCTACAGCGAAGCCCAAGCTCAGGATCACCGATGATCTCAAGAAGAAATGAGTACCACCAATAAATTACATCAATGGACATACGCAAATTAGCGCCTGATTCTACTGAATAGTATTGACTTTTGATATGTATGTATGGGGAATCTTTATTTATTTTATTTAATTTTATCAAACTTACACGTCCTGGTCTGGCTGAGTGACACCGTAGTCTTCTGGTAGTCTCCTGCCGAGTCTCGGCGTGAATTCCACATTTTCAAAGCTCTTGTCGTCTTGGTACATGCTGTTTAGACTTCTGCCCAATTTCGGTGTAAAGTAAATTTTGAAACCTGCGAACAAACAGAATTTCTGATCACGATCACCAAGTGCCCGAGCAACGGTCAGTCATGGCATCGGTGATCGAAAATTTATAAAGAAAGAAAAAATGAGGTTTTATTTTTATTACACCCGTTTAAATAACGTCTTCGCACTGAAAAATTAGTACAAAATTATGAAGGTATCATAATAGCCCGTAACAGTCCAGGGACTAAGGCTCTCCTCCACGCTAGTGAATGATCTTGCCAGAGGTGATTTAACAGAGATTGCTACTTTCCATTCTATGCTCAGTGTGTAATCCCTCTGACGGCTCTTATGATAGCCGCGGGAAGAGTAGGGGTGGTGACATGAGGAAGTATTAAAAAAAAAGAAAGCACTAAAAAGCACCTCACTAGATGGCGACTCTAGTAAACGTTGATTTTTGCAGGAAACAAATGGACCGAAGATAGTCATTTCCGTTCTTTTAATCTGACATATTAAAAAACTGAAATTTGCAAAGTTCGAAACTTAGATACCAATACAAATACGAAAAAGTACAAATGGAATATGAGTTGCTTATTGAGTTTTGAACATCTATTTTATACATGAAAGAAAACCGGAAGGGTCGTCGTGGAGAAATCAAGAAAGTACCGTAGCGACATCTAGTTTGATTTCGTGAAGTAATGTTTTTTTTAAAGACTTCCTCATTGTATTCTATTCTGCCGTCACCACAAGGCATAAATCACGCTCTAAAAAGTTTGAAACAGGAAATCTATTTTATAGCGTTAGCTATATTATAATAGCGATTACCAAAGTATAGCGTAGACGTATGCCACAACGTCATCATGCCACAATCATCAGCCCTTTTACGTTCTGACTGCAGGGGCTCAGGCCTTCCTTAAAGAGGATGGGCCATGACCCTCCACGCTGGCCCAATGCGGATTGGAGGGTATTAACGACTGCAAATGCAGCCGGGACCAACGGATTAACGTGTCTTCCGAATCACCGAGTAGCTCGAGATAATATTTTTTTGGTCGCCCATCCCGTGACTGACCCTTGCGTAAGTTGCTTAACGACAACAATCGCGTGCCGCGGCGCTTATCTACTACGCCTCCGAACTACTGTCTTCATACATACAACTACGAATTCTCGGACTTAGATTTGTTTAGTAACACTATCGCTAGTCTCAAATCACAAATTATACAGAAAATTAATTGACGCTTTTGTAATTCGCATATTTTCTTCTTTTGTAACAAATAGTAGTGTACATTTAATATACCTATAACTGTTACAATTAAGTAAACATAAGCATTGTTTGTAGCAAATTCTGGGTACTATTTGTTTTTTAAGCTTAAATATAAAATGTAATGTATTTATTGTAATGACTGTTTGTACCATAATAAAGAGAGAAAAAAAGAAGTGTGTACGCACCTTTGTTGTCGCCGTCATCGGATTGAGCTTCATAATTAGGTAATTGGTCGTAATAATATTTGAGGGCATCAGCTGCTTCGAACAACTTCAGTAAAGTTTCCCTGTTACATAAGTATGAGTAAATATGAGTTATTTTTACCGTAATATTGACTTTAATTGTAGTTTATGCAACTGTCATATAAGAAGGGGTATTAAAACAGGAGAGCCTGTTTATCGATAATAGATTGACTCGAGTGTTTTAATACCTAAGTTATATGCAGTTTCATACACTACTTTATCTTCACTTATAGGAAAAATGAAATAAAACTAAGTAGGTAGGTTACAAGGAAGTCATTTTCTATTTTAGTCTATTACAATTATATAATTATTATGAATTATTACGAGTATATTTGAAAAGTATTCTTTATACAAAATGCTTAAGAAATCCACTTGGTCCCTGGCTACACTCGGAAGTAGCAAAAAGTAACAGGCGCTTGAAAGTTTCTTCAGTCCTATTAGCTCCTGGGTAGCTAGCGGTTAGAGAAGTCGCCCGAATTGTATAAGGTCGTGGGTTCGAATCCCATCTCAGGGTGCCAGGGACCAAGTGGATTGTTTAAGCATTTTGTATTAAGAATTATTATGAACTAGTGGCCGCCAGCGACTTCGTTTGCGTTTTCCATTATTTCTTCGCTCCTAATAGTTGCAGCGTGATGTTATATAGCCTAATGCCTTCCTCGATAAATGGTCTATTCAACACAAAAAGAATTTTTCAATACGAACCAGTAGTCCCTGAGATTAGCGCGTTCAAACAAACAAACAAACTCTTTACCTTTATAATATTAGTATAGAATTAGAAACTGCATTCTCCTTGACAATAAAGCCTAAGATTTTTTCTTAAATATCTTATTATAACTACAAGACAATCACAACAAAATAATATATGAAGAAAACTGACCTGCGCTCATCGACCGATCGTTTGCCAAGTCTCGGTCCGAACCAGTACAAACTCTGTCCCTGGCCCTGTCCATCAGTGCCTGTCTGACGAAAGTCGTCCTGGAAACAAGGCCAATGATCAATAGAACGGTTGAAATGTTCATCCTTTTTAACCGACTTAAAAAAAGGAGGAGGTTCTCAATTAAACGGCTTTTATAATATTTTTCCCTTTTTTAAAGCTTGGAGTCGGTTATATTTAAAAAATAGTTTTTATTTCTTTTGTTTTAGCGATATTGATGTTTTTTATATTATTTTTGTAACACTAAAAATACTATGCCTGGGAACCTCGTTTAAACCACGTTAAAGTGCGAACCTCCATTTTTTTCAGACGGTTTATATACCTAAAACCTTCTCCTGTATATGACAAATACTACGCTGAAAACCGCACCAAAATCGGTTCGACGAAACGCGAGATAATCGCGCACAATACATACATACAATCTGAGAACCTCTTTTTTTTAAGTCGGTTAAAAACCGCGATCGTCTGCAACTAGTATAGTATCAGATATGAATTTACTCTCACCTTCCGTTTATCATCAACAGAGTAAACGTATTGACAAAATAATACAACAGACAACAACAACTTAAAATTTATATATAACGACATTTTGATTATACAGATATAAAGGATCACTCTCTTCCTATGTTTTTATGTGTCTTCTATTGTACTGAAGAAAATGTTCGATTTACTAGCTTTATATAAGGGTGTAAATTGAAAATCTATGCAAATGAGGCGGGTGGGATGGGCTATATTGGTACACATTGCGTTTTTACTTTATTCTTGTAACTTACCTTATGCTAAAAAATCAGTTAAGTAAAGTTTTACATTAAGTAACTATCAGTCAACCTTAATGATTATAATTATTTGATTTTCATAAATGCAATTACAATATTTTGAGTATTGATATAATAACACGCAAACTTACCTCAAACTTATAACTTGGGATATGGTATAATATTTTTATAATAGACGTAGAACCCGCTTAATACGACTTCCCGCTTAACACGCTCTTTGACGATTATCTATGCAACTTGAGACATGTTTTGATACATATTTTACACTATAACAACACTAGGATCCTTTATAGGTTCTATGTTCACTTAGACTAACACTCATATCTATAGTCAAGAGAAGTAATTACTTGAGAAAATGTTATAATTTAAGACAATATTTTTAACCAATTGACGAGAATTAGAATGAAATAAAAACGTATTCTAATTATTAACAGGTCTTACTTCATTGAAATTCTTATAGTATAAACGTATTATATCCATTTAAAAGGTGTTTTATTTGATGAATAGTGCGGGTGAAAATATTAGAATCACTAAAACATTTAACGTAATTTATAAATGTTTATTTAAATATCTACGATATTAGAATGTTGGGTTTCATATAGAATAATAATACTAGCTAACCCAAAAAATGTTATTTTACAATATAAACTTGAGGTGGATCACACTCAGCACTTAGGGGTATAAAAATTAGATAAAAACCTATTATCAGACTCACTGAATACATATAAAATTTCAACGAAATTGAAAGCCATTTAGGAGTATGATAACTGAAACTGCGACACGAGAATTTTATCTATTAAATGGTATTTTTCCATAAACGAAACAAGTGTAACCTTAGCCCAGGTTCCCCTAAAAAGAATTAAGAGAAAATTGAGACAAATCTTTTTTCTCTGTAAGGAATTAAGTTTGCTGTAGATATTGCATCTGCTGGGACACGCCGACTAATAATAGAAAGTCCCGCCATCGGGAAAATCGACTGTGGGAGGATATTTATTTATTACTTTTTCCATTTCAGTTAAAAGAATTCGAATTTTCGGCTCAAGTGAAACGACCTCTTTCTTAAAACCTAATAACAAAATTGCTATCTCCGTATAATACTCCATCTTTTAGTCCTATTATATCGGAATAAAAGTAATTACATAAGCAAATATGTCTAATAAATATGTAAACAAGAATTCAAACGAATTAAGAATCATTTATTATTTGTAATTGTACTAGCTTTTGTCCGCGACTTCGTCCGCGTGGAAAAGTTACTTTGAGCAGCATTTCTAACGAATATTTATTCATTATATCGTGTAAATTACCTGTAAAAATGTCTTATCCTCTTAGCTTATGCCCTTAGGGGTGGAATTTATCAAATTTCTTTCTTAGGAGATGCTTACGTCATAGTAGCTTTATGCATGTAGTCTCAACCCTTAAAATTGACAAAGTTTCATACAAACTTTCATCCCCTATTTTATCCCCTTGGGGGTGGAATAAATCAAAATCCTTTTTTAGAGAATGCCTACGTCATAGTAGCCTTATTTATACAAAATCTCAGCCCGATCGGTTTAAAATTGACAAAGTTCCATACAAACTTTCATCTCCTATTTATCCCCTTGGGGATAGAATTGATCAAAATCCTTTCTTGGCGGATGCCTACGTCATAACATCTACCTGCATGCCAAATTCCAGCCCGATCCATCCAGTGGTTTGGGCTGTGCGTTGATAGATCACTATGTCAGTCAGTCACGTTTGAGTTATATATATTTAGATTATTTTCCCCTGGAAACGCGTCATTTTCCCGCGGTAAAAAGTAGCCTATGTCCTTTCTTGGGTATTAAAATATCTCCATACCAAATTTCATGCAAATTGGTTCAGTGGTTTAGGCGTGATTAAGTAACAGACAGACAGAGTTGCTTTCGCATTTATAATATTAATAAGTATGGATTCTAAATATTTTTTTTATTTATGATACAAAATGACATAATTAATTAAAAACGGACAGCTAATTACGGGTCCTCGCTAATAGAAATATTAGTTTGTTTTCTATAAAAAATGATGTACACAATTTTAATACAAGAAATAAAAATAAATTAACGGTGCCTGTCACTAGACTGCAAAAAGATAATAACTCATTCAAGGGTCTTTGTGTGCGCTTCTACAATAAGGTCCCAAGCAAATTACAACAATTAGATATCATGTAGTTTAAATCTACTATTAAAAAAATACTTATTAAAAAAGCTTATTATAAGGTATCCGATTATATAACAGATAAGAATGCTTGGACTTGAGATGATCCAGCAACTGGATAGGTGATTACTTCTAAACTCATTATCTTGTTTCCATTATTATTAAATGATTATGTTATCATTATAAGACCATTTTTTTCATCTCTGTTTATAATGTATTGATCTGGTAATGACGTGGTTTTTGTAAATTTCATTACTCTTATTAGAGTTGGTGAGTTTCTTGCTCGTTCTTCTTATCAGCCAAAAGACGTCCTGAACGAGTGGTTGGGAAAAAATGTTGGACGATTCAAAAGTACTTTTAAGACGTCTATTTGAATAAAGATTATTTTGACTTTGACTTTCACTTAGATTTGATATAAAAGTAAAAAATATCGCTTGCAATTACAATTATATAATAATTATTATTCAGTGCACAATAGAGATGTATCAGGTGGATTTGTAACATAGCACCAGACGTATCATGTAAACCCTATTTCAAATCTCTAAACATTTTAACTTTGACACTTCTTCACATTTTTGAGGTATTTGTTCATCAGAATATTCAAAAGTTTATAAGCGTGTGCGATATATCCGAAAGCTCCAGGCGCCATCCACATAGACTGGTATTGGAAACTGTCCCAAAAACAAAACGATTCTTAAAGAATTGTACCGCTATGTCTAAAAATATCTACAATAAAATACTATTACAATTTAAAGACCTCCCTATTAAGCAATTCAAGACATTGTTACGTCGATGGCTGTTGAACCATACCTTCTATACAGTGGAAGATTTTTTAAATCACAAGGAATAGCATAGTTGTGGTAGATGCAGAGTTTAATTAAATGTTTTTATAGTTAATAATTAATGTACAAGTTGACAATTCACAAAATATTTCATTGAAAAATGTAATTAATTTATATATGTTTAATATCTTTATTAATATTGATTATTATTTAAAATGGACATTGTTTTGAAATCTAGTTCAACTGACATATTTATGCAAATAATATGGCTAAATAGGTCTAAGTACGTATAAAAGCGAATGATAATACTTGGACCTCAAATTGATACCAAATGTACATGTGAGATTCCCAATTGCATATGAAAATGCATGTTTTGATACATTTTATCATTTCGTTGGTTTCGCATTTTTTTCTTTTCTTTGTAATATTACATTAAAACTAAAAGTGTCAGTGAAAATGAGAAGATATTGGATTATTTTTTATTTTATTTTTGCATCTAGCTTGTTATAGCATAAGCTGTGGATAATTATTTGTGTATGATACTGAACTAATTGAGTAGCTCGGTGGCGTAGTGGATAAGCGCCGCGGCCCGCGATCGTAGTCGTTAAGCAACTTTCGCAAAGGTCGGTCGCGGGATGGGTGACCAAAAAATTATTATCTCGAGCTTCTCCGTGCTTCGGAAGGCACGTTAAGCCGTTGGTCCCGGCTGCATTTGCAGTCTTCAATACCCTCCAATCCGCATTGGGCCAGCGTGGAGGGTCATGGCCCATCCTCCTTAACCATCCATAAGGAAGGCCTGAGCCCCTGCAGTGGGGACGTAAAAGGGCTGGTGATGATGATGATGATGACTGAACTAATACTATGTAAATGAGAATAATCATAGGTTGTGCAATACACTGTTTGTGTCTATAAATAAATAAATACATATTAAATGGTAATAATATTCGGAAATACTAAATTTATAATTACAACTACCTACAACACGTTAAATTGACGCTTCGCTAGTGTTTCTTTTACCCGACTGCGCGACGCAAAGGAGGGTCATGAGTTTATCAGTCTATGTATACATATATGTTTGTTTCTATGTGGCGTTCTGGAGACCAAATGCGTAGGCCGATTTTGATGATTCTTGCGTCAATCGATTCGACTTAACCTTGCGAGTGTCACTAAAAACATGATAGTAATCAAAATTCACCACAGCGACAACCAGACGCCATATTGTCTAAATGAAAAAATAAAAAATCGATGAACTATGTCAAGTGGGGTGTCGTTGAATTAATATATTTTAAAATCATCTTTAGGCTCCTTTTATCATTTTTCATTTTAAATAATAGTTTAGGATATATAACGATTTAAAGTTGTTTAACAAAACATTCTCGATAATTTTTTTACTTATTCATGTTTTTATTTAAAGTATAAACGATATACAAACAAAAAAAAAAGCAGTGAAAACGCATGAAGAACAAATATTTTTGGTAAAAAATAAAGCATATGTAGCTTTGAGCCGAGTTAGGTACATTGCGGAATTTACTCTAGAGGGACATTGCGAAATTTACCATCTTATAACGAAGTCAACGAATCGTAACTAAAAAGTATAAAATTAAAATAAATAATTTAAAGAAAGACAAAAAACCCGTCTGCGTAAAAACGAATACATGAAAGTATTAAATAAAAACTAAAAAGAAAGAAACAAGCCCAGTAGTTAAGAATTCTGCTAAGTAATACAGAACAGAACGACTCACAGTCGGTGCCCATTTAAATTTTACCAATAAAATCTTCCCAAGGGGCGATGAAATTCTGGATTCTCGGCTAATCTCAAAGCAGCTTCGTTGTCAACTTGCAGTACTAGTACATGCTG